ACCCATTGCGATGCTAGGATGCCATCTCTCTTTTTTTAAAAAATCTTTTGGTTTCTGTATTAGGCTTACAACTGATAACTTTTTCACTTTTTCTGCAATATAGTAATAACCTTATGTTGACTGAAAATCATTCTAAGATTCCTCCTCCCCCTGCCACTACTGTTGGTGCCTCGTTCTCAGACGATGTCTCCTTGGCTTCTCTGTCCATCCCAGCCACACCACCCTTAACGGTACCCAAGACGATGTGGTCTCGTATTACCTCACAAAAGGACGGCATCTGGATCGTTTTATAATACTCAGGGAGGAAGCCCTCTGCCTCTGCACCACAACTTCTGCCCTTTGCAAACTGGTCTGTGTTTTTATTTCCTTTCAAGAAGAAGCCAAACCAATTCCTATACCATTTTAAAAAAGAAGAGCAATTTAATTTACACAGAAGTACTAAATGTACATAATTCTTTTAAAAAATTGTTATACACAATAAATACAGTACAAAATTATTTTATAGTACTATATTTTGTTTTTGAACTGTGGTGAAGTTCAAACTGGTACCAGCAGGGGAAGGAAAGAAAACTTGGTTATTTATTTGTTTTTAATAATAAAAGTGGGGTATTTTGTTTGGTTTTTTTTTGTTTTGTTTTGTTTGCTTCCTTTTACTTGGAAAACCTTCCTGTGATTTGGTGTTGGGTGGAAAAGCTGAAGGATTCAGAAGGATCTAAATAGGTTTTCTTAAAATGGCCTGTTAATAATTAATTACCCCTCCCCAAAAGCCCATTTTATTTCTACATTTACCTTCTGAATGGGCTATGAGTTGAAACGAGCAGATGGAAGCTTCCCAAGAGTTGCAATATGCATCTCTCCTTCTCTCTCTCTTTTTAAATACCCCTCCCTAAAAGGTAAAAAAAAACACTCAATGAAAAAATTAAATATGCACAAAAGAAATGGCATTTCCCCCCTTCTTTTGTGCCTATGAAACAAACAAACAGAAAACTATGGTCACTTTAATATGCTTCAAAATACTGGAAAGATGTTAAATATACTTCCTTGTAACAGTGAGTCTGCTGATGTATATTAACCTTTAATTTGAAGGGTTTTATTTCCCCCTTAACCATTTTTGCAGTGAGAAGAGGCAGCAACCAAATGAGCTAATGACCCCAAATCCACACTTTTTAGAGGAAAAATAAGGACACTAAACAAAAAGCCAAACAATTTCATATACATTTTTTATATATATTTATATATAAAAAAGAAGAAGAAAACCCCACCAGCCCGGGAGTTAGAACATCCCTTATTGCTTCCTAACCGTATACTCTTCCCCCTTCACATCACAGAAACCAGCAGTTTGTTGGTGGGGAGCACTGTAAGACCAGAAAGAAGTAGCAAAACCAGATCTAGTGTTTCTGTCTGCTGCGGATCGTTCCTCCAGCAATGGCCCTCCTCCCCACCCACCCCACCACCAGCAATACCTGGCAGGTGCCAGAACCCCATCCTTCTTAAATGGAGAGAGGAAACTGCTGTTAATTCCATTGCTCACTCGCTAGCAAAGTTGTGGTGTGCACATCAGAAAGCAGGGCTCTGAATCAGGACCTCAGAGCACGAATATTTGGGGGCTGTTTCTGGCCTCCTCCTCCTCCTCAATGGCGCCAGCTAAGGTTCTGTATTAGAATGCCATGAGGAAGGGAACAGAAAGACTGACACGTGCTTCCTAACATACCATACGCACCTATCTCAACAAGAAAGAATTAATCAATCCAGGAGCAACACAACTGTATGTCCTATAAGGCATAAATGGAAAATAATGTTGCCATGTCTCGTTATGGTTAAAAAAAAAATCCGCCAAGGTAGTCTCAAATACCAGTTAGAAATGGATAGAGGTTGTACAAGAGACTTGGGAATGGGTGCAATGAAGCACAAAAAGCCTTGAACTCGGGCCCTGAAAACGGTTTTCTTAAACAGTTTGCACTCAGGGGAAGAAAAACATAGGTCAAAAAAAGAGAAAGAGAAAGAGAGAGAGAGAGAGAGAGAGAAAGGGAGACAGAAAGGAGACAATTTACCTTCCCTTTTGGTTCAATTATATCCCTTAAATGTTTTTCTGCAGTATACTGCATTTTTAAAGATGCCTTTCCCCCCTCTATTTCATAAGACACAGTAAGGCTTAAAGAAAGAGAAGCTACTGATAAAGAACAGGTTTGGAACAAGAGTAATATTCTCTAGCATCTTCTGCTTTTCCTCTGTAATAAATGTTTTGTGGTAGAAGCACTGTTGTGCTGCCTTTTAATCTTTTTGGATGGTGTGAGATGCATTCTGATTGAACTTAGAGAAATGAACAATTAAATTCCAGTACTGTGGGTAGAAATGGGAATATGAGAGAAAAATGGAGCACAGAACACAATTGGTAAAGGGATTATGCATTCTCTGCCCTTGGTCAAAACATGTGACTCATGGTGAGGCAAAAAGATAATAAAGTTAATTTTAGAAAGCAGTCCTGAATTCAGTCCCTTTATCTAGTGAAAATAGGTACTGGCTGGTCTTCCACTATCACACCCCTTTGCAAATATCTGTCAAACATGCATTGCAACTGAACAGCTGAACACAAATTAGGAGCATGTTCATATTTCTGTGAGAGTTTGATTTCAGAACAAACAAATAAAAGAATACGGAACAAATGATAATGGGGGGGGAATAAAGCCATGAAACACCCAACACACATTCAATCACATAGGGAAAATGAGGTCATGAAAACAACTTCTCTGAGCTCCAAGAAACAACCAGTTTAAGAGAACTTGTATGAGACCTAGACAGTTCATCTGGCCACAAAATCATATTTACTTCCTCATCTTCACTTTTAAATTATGTTAAAAATAGTTGCTTCTGTCCTCTGGGTTACCCAAGCTGTTCCTATAACTATATCTAAGATCTATCCCACCCCAGTTTCAATGGCTTTTAAAATTAAATAGTGAATAAGCCCACGGACAACATTTAGGCAGCCTTTCTCGACTTGCCATTCTCCAGATGGGTTAGATCACAACTCCCATAATCACACAGCCCTGTCAGATGAAGAATTATGAGACCTGTAGTCCAACACATTTAAAGGGTGCCAGGCAAGGAAGGCTGTATTAAGGCCTCACCTAATAAGTGGTCGGTAGTCGGAGGGAGAGGACTGAACCCTGAAGACTCTTCTTTTCACTGACCAACTTGCCAAATCCCTTTGAAGCCACTGATGTAATAACCTGCTTAACAATTTGGGGAATTATAGTTTTTCAAGGACAGTATTTCCAGCATAACAGGATAAAAGCTAGAAAGCACTGTTTCTTTTATAGTTATTGCAAAACTTTAAGGAGCTCCTGCATCCATGCAATTCTAGTTTCTGCAGAAAGCTGTTTTAAAAATAAATGACTATGAGTTCAAAACTTTTTATAACAATGAACTGTCAGAATTTGGGCATTTAATTTTTAACTAAAATTATATTTTAAAAAAGAATTTGGCCATGAACAGGGTAATGGAAAGAGACTTCTTTTTTCCAGGACTGTGGGCAGGAAAGGAAGGCGGGAGGCAAATGTAGAAAGAACGTGAAGGAATTTGGAAGGCAACCATAGCGAATTCCTAACCCCTGGAAACCAGAATCATAGCATTTATTTCCTCTTGAAAAGAAAGATGTCTGAAATGAGAAAAGAGAAGATAAAAGATTTATAACTAACGGCTGAATCCAGATCACTTGGCAACTCTCCAGAAAGACAAACAGTTTGACTCCGAGCCAGACTGACTGGGTCTTACTCCTACTTCTGGTTTATTCAGCGGGACGGTAGCCAATAGAGAGAGCTGAGCTGTCTTTAATCCAAAACTTGACGTCAAAAGAAGTATTTCCCTTTTTAGAAGCAAGAACAGAGGTGGAGTTGCACAAATAAGATACCCTATGGTGACTGCGGATAAACTGGCTGTTCATCATTAGGCAGCTCCGGAGGAGCATCTACTTAATAACAGATAAACGTATTTAGTGGAACTAAGTTGCACGCAAGGACATCCTTATCTGTTTTGATTTTAGGGAAGAGGCCTGTTTGAGAAAGAAGGGACTATAAAGGGGGGGGTGGCAACGTTAACCCAAAGGGGCACATACCGAGATGTAGGGGTTGTATTTTCAAACATAAAAGGAACCTCAGTTGTCCAATTTGACACAATGCGGTAAACAAGGAAAACAATTCAACAAAATTCTAGTGTAGATTCTTCAGAGTATGAGCCAAGAGAAGGATGGAAACATGTCCTCTTGTCTGTTACAGAAAGGATAAGATGTAAGAAAGTCAGATTTCAAAACTGGAACATTAAGACACTGGAGTTGTGAACTAGGAAAGAAAAATCATCTTCAAGGTTGATGAACATGTCAGTGTGACCTCTTTCTTTTGTTCAGCAGCAACCACTTGAGCTCATATAAGAGAACACCAGTATTATAATGCTGATTTCAGCTCTGCTGAAACACGTTTTGCTATCCCACTTCTTATTTTCAGTTTTGGCACCTAAAAGTACAAAAGTATGGTCTAAATTTGTTTTTTTTTGGGGGGGGGTTTGCAATAAATCTGTCAGCAGAAGGTTAGTTTGTTTGGAAGATTGTGAATCAATAAAGATTTCGGAAAAAGATCAGATCACTTGAAGAAACTAGGGATCAAGCCCAGAACTGCCCAACTGGAGCTGTGTAACAACAAACATTGGGGTATGAAAATACTGGAGAAGAACAGCCAGCTTAAAGTGTTCTGTGATGCACTTTTCACCTAGAAACTCCATGGGTAGCAACGTCAGTCCAGGTTTTCTCCAAAGCATGAATACATGTGAATGACTACAATAAAGAGGAATAGGTGCAGCTAGCGTTTAAAGTTAGCACCACTTCAAATGTACAAAAATAAGTTTACCTATCATGGTTCTCTTTTGTGTTGTACCATGTGCTAAAATGGTCACAATAAGCTATCAAGCAATTGAGAGGTTTAAATAACAAGTAACTATGTTTTTTTTAAAAAAAACATGGAACATTTCCAACTGGCTTACTGAAGACTTCTGTGCTAACTCAAACTTGCACATTATTCTACCAGAAGACGACGACCTGCTAATAAAGCATCGTCTTCGTTGTTCTGTCTTTTGCTCCTCACACAATCCAACTGTGGAAGAAGAGAAGAGGCTCCTGCCTCTCTTTGAAGGCTTTAGATGGCTAAAAGATGACACTGAAAATGGCAGGTCATACTTTCCCTAATTTAGCAATTAGGCTGGAGACTAGGTAGAACAGTCTCCAGCCTACCAAGTAAGTGACAATGGAAAAAATTTATAACACATGAGAGAGAGAGAGAGAGAGCAAGAAAAGAGATGGCACTTCCAGAGATCTGAGAAGGCAGCAAAGCAGTGTCTTGCAGAGATGAAGGAGCTAGAAGCAGGAGAGGAAAGGAGCACAACATGAAGATTCTTGCATGTGACAGAACTAGAGGTGCCACAGTTTCTTCCACATTGCAGACCGAATTATAAGTTTTTTATCTGCAAGTCAAATGCAAGGCCCCAAAGGGGATTTTAGGTTTTGTTACTGGGCGCCTGTTGATGCCAATGCTTTTTTCACAGGGAACCTCTTATTTGTAGAAGAGTGGAAGATTAGGGATGATGGAGGCACAGCTCATACTGCTAGTTGGCTGCCCACTCTCCCCATGTAAGCCTCTCATTTCCTAATTCTCAGTTTTGCAAGCTACTGTTAACTAAATACTGCCATCCACCATACTGTTGGGCTCTCACACGCACATCATCTGAAACCACACTTATGTAGAAATTTTAACTTAAGGATTTTCCTCTAATTTTCTATGAATCAAGACAAAGGTAGACCAAGAATCTCGAAGCAGCCTGGTCCCCTGCTGTTTGCAAATTCACAAGCTTCTTTTCTTTCTACCAAGGAAGAAAATACCCCACTCACTGACAAACATGGCAAACTTACCAATGGAACTCAAATTCTATCCTGCTGATTCTGCCCCATTGGCTGGAATCGCATGGGTGCTCAAATGAGGTTTGCATACCTTGCTATGGCTAATCGCAGCTAACTGACAAGGTGCCCGGCCACATTTCAATTTTGTAATAGAACGTATGACCAGGCACACAACTGACACCTGCCTCTGTATCTTGTCAGTTAGCCACAATTAGTTGCAGAAAGTCACACACGTCTTATTCAAACGCCCACAAGATTCTGGCCAATAGATTTCTCAGGCCTCAATGGCAAAAAGCAGCAGAAGACAAAAAGAGAACTACAAACAGAAAAAAATAAGATAGGAAACTGGAATAAATAAAGTCCAAACAGGTACAACGGGAACTGCAAGCGCAGATTGATTCTGGGGAATACCAGAGGTGTGCAAACAGGCTCTGGAGAAGACACAAGACTGAATTTAGATCAGAAGTCAGAAACATGACTTTTCTGGCGCTATATCTCCTAGCCAGAGGACAGTGCTGGTGAGGAGATTGTGGCAGTTACAGTCTAAAAAGTCATGTTTCAAGCTCTTGTCCAGACTATACTAGTCACACTCAGTGTCAAGACATTAGACGTGACTCCATCGGGTCTGGATTCAACTCAACATGGCCGTTTGCGTCTACTCCAGTTGGCTACAAAGGACACCCCTTCCCATTCCAGAACTTCTGTCTTGTGCAAATAATTGTATGAGAGGAGAGGTACAAAGCCATCGTTTTAAAAATGGGAGAGAATGATGAAAATAAATGAAGTCGCGGCTGCCATCTACCAACATTAGCTGCTGCAGCAAAGGATGAAAAAGCACAAAAAAATATAGAAATGACTTCCTCCTTGGCTTCCCCAGGGTTCTAAGGCACCTGTGCCCAAACATGTGGATATTGAACGTGAATAGATTTCTTTTGGATCCTGCTCTTATCAAAAGCTTAACCAGAGTTGGTTTTGTTTAAAAAATAGTGGGTGGGGGGAAGAAGAGAAATATACACCCCTTTTGCTAATACTTTCCTTGCTCCACTCAACACGGTTGTGTTAACCAAATGCTTTTGTCTCCTAAAAGGGCCTGGTTTCTTCTCTGAAACTTGTTGATTTGTAAACTCATTCCTGCTTATTTGTTTTTCAGCATTAGTGTTTATATCATTTCTTCTTTTTCTTTTTTTGCATTTTGTTCATAATGTATTTTTGTCAAAAAAAAGGCAGTTTATACTTAAAATAACTTAAAAAACCTGAAAAAATCAGTTACATAATCGCCCCATGTGGTAACTACAGAGGAGTTGTGCTCCTGCCCCTGCTCCAGTCCTTTGGCCTCCCTGCTGGTTTCGGACTCGGGATTTATTTAAAATGTCCTAAATAAAATAGCGGAGTGGGGGAGGGAGGGAGGGGGAAATAAACCCAATCATCATCATTCAGAGATTCAAATTAGCAATTTGTTACAGAATCTAAATATTACACAGCCAACACTACCTATGGGCCCACAATCCAACCCCCTCCCCACCTGCCTGTCTGGCGTTCACTGGACTTTTCTTTAATGGTGCATGTGATCAGACGAGTGTATTGTAAATCCAGCCTCAGGTTGTACTTTTACAACAACCAAAACCCATCACATCAACGCTTGGATGGACAAAGCCTTTTGTCGGACATTCTCGTTGCCCTCCCCACCCCAGGCCCGCGCTCTTCCCGTCTGGTATCAGCCCCATTTCTGTTGGGTCTCTAGGAAGTAACACCTTGGCTTCCAACCGTTTCCTAGCCAGCAGAAGCTGCAGCAGCTTCAATCCGTGGCTCTCTTTGTACAGTTTCTACTTGCTGTCGATTTCTGTTATCTGTTCAACGTCCTTGCTCCAAGGCCGCCATTGTGATTGGGGGCAAGGTACGTGTCTGTGCGGTGGACAGGTGAGGAGAAAGGGGAGGAGGAGGAGTTGTAGGAAGAGGAGGGTGTTCGGGTGTTCTGGCCCCCAGCCTGAGGTTGCTGTAAATTCAGGATGCTGTCAATGGCGCTCTGTAAATGCTCATTAAGTGAGTCATCAGGGGGGCTATCGCTGGAGAAGCTGGCATTGTCCACGTCGAAAGATTCTGACTTTCTACGTTTGGCTGGGGGAAGGGGCACCTCCCATGCGAGTTCAGAGGCAGAACCGTGGTCAGGTGGCTCGGTCTTTATCATCCGCTGATAAAACTCATCCTCAACCTCTTCTAATTCCTTCATAAGGCCACTGGTTGAATCATCGGTCTTGGGAGGGGCAGGGCTTTCTTGCATCACTAGGGAACGAGCATCACTTCGACTGAAAAACGTATGCTTGGTGTTCTCCTCTGACCTGCCCTTCTCAGCCACAGAGGGACTCTCGTGAGTTTTGTGGGAGGTGATGACACTCCTAGACCCACCATCCTGCTTGATGATGAGGGTGCTTGGCACCGTATCTGCTTTCGGGGTGCTTCCTTTTGAGCAGGTCTCAGGGGCTTTATCTGCTACAAAAGCATCCACGTTCTCCCGGTATGTTTTACGAAGAGGAAGCCTGCAGTAGGTCACAATAGGCTTCTTCTCCATTGGCGCTGCAGCCACGTGATCAACTGTCCCATTCATTTGCCCTGCCATTGAGATGGCCGTGGTGGTGGTGGTAGTGGCAGCCGCAGCAGAAGCAGTAGAGTGCTGCTCAGCCGTCTTGATTACAGTGCAGACGGGTGGAGGTGTCTGGTGAACCGGGTCCAAGGCAGTGTTGTGAACTACTTTGCTGAGTCCTGCCTCCTGTTTGATCTTTAGTTTCAGCCCAATCCGGCTCCGGGCTTCGTAGGTTTTGATGGGTGGCTTGCTTCTGGAAGGCAAGGCATCCTCGTCGCCATCCAGTGAAGGAGAGGCCTTGGCCCATGTGACAGAGGGAGAGCCTCCACTGTGCTTGATCACCAGTTTTGTGGGGTTGATCTGGGTTGCCATCTGCACTGGAGGCGACTTCATGTTCTCGGAGGCCAAACTAACGTTGCTGGGCTGGGAGCCCTGAGCCAGAGAAGAAACAAAACTCTGCGACCGTGAAGATGAAGAGACATATTCATCTGCAAGAGAAGAACGTGCACCACTGTGTTAATAGAAAGCAAATCCAGAAAGTCTTCTCCTATAAGGGTCTGGGGAGACACAATGTGCAGAGTTCCCAACAGCAAACCCAGGGATGTTCAACCACTCTATTTTTAGAGGATATACCACCTTCATGGTTCTCAGTATAAATCCTGCATATAAGATGGTACCATTCAAACCCTCTCATGGATGTTCAAGCTCTAGAATATTAGCATGACATCACAGCAAGGGCCTCGCAGATACAGTGCACTCAGGCAGGGATAGTAGGAGATAATTTAACTTCTAACTATCATGATTGAGTCCCTGAATACCTTTTTAAAATTAAGCTAGTTTTTACTGTTTTCTTGCTTTTAATTATTCAGTTGCATTTTAATCAGTTTATACTGTAGTTTAATTGTTTTAAATGTTTGAGTTAGTATGTTTTAAATTCTATTCTTTTTAATATTGTGAGCCACCTTCGGTCTCCTTATCAGGAGAAAAATAAATAAAACAAAGAAATAATCTATTAGGAGTACTGGAACTGAGAAACAAATGCAATTTTTGAAAGACATTCTCAGGTCACCAATATGACAAAAATCAGAATTGCTATGATGAATCAGTCAAAGACCTATCTACTTCCAGCACATATCTGAATGAAATGCAGCAATCTCAAGTCAGCCACCTTTTATGAATACGGAAATAATGCTTACTGCCAAATGAATAAGACAAACTTCAAACAATGGTTTAAGAGTCTGGTATATGTGGTAAAAGAGTCCTTAATATGCTGAGATACAATCTTCCAAACAGAGCCAGAGACATCTACATTTTACATATTAAAATCAGCTTTTCCTGAGCAATTTTTTAAAATTAAGACCTGTTTCTCCTCAGTGCTTCCCCCTCTGAGATCAGAAGCATCAGAAGTCTAGTCTGCTTGACAGGGAGCATTCTGCCACACATGTCCTTACCCCTTTATAATGCCTGATGAGAAGGTTACACACTGGTGACAGAAAAGCACTGAGCCATGCTTGCTGGTAGGAAGGGGACTAAAGTTTAGAAGATCAGCTTGAGGGAGAATGTGCACTTTGGAATAAGCAAGCTACATAAATTAAAAACAAACAAATCCTGCCTCTTACCTGGCTTCTCCTTTGCCAACTGTTTATCAAGAGCTAAGGTGGTCTTTTCCTCCTGTATGAACATCCTGTCGATCATCACCATCTCTGCTGAAGGACTGACTCTCTGTCGACAAAGAAGGAAATACTGGTGAGGGGGTGAGGGAAGAAAAAGAAGGCAGAAGGAGAACAAACCTGAGGCTCTTCACACGCGCACACATCATGCAGGTTTTGCTTGTCATCTCTTACCCTTTGGCATCTCTGTCACTTTTGAAAGTCTGTAAGGTCCTCAGGGTCAAATGGGCTAGGTTCAATTAGAGTATAACCACCAAATCAATGGAACATGGACAAATTTTGATTTATAAAGTTAGCATTACTTAACATCAGGATTTAGACCCATGTTTCTTTCTTCACATATAGTTTGCTACCTCATGTTTACTTCTAATCAAAGATGCCATCAAAGCTGATGTTGTTGCTACAGGTTCCTTTCCTGAACTTCCTGCCTGCCTTTTGACTGAGTGCTTATTAAAGGAGCAAAGGCCAAGATGAGATCAGGTAGCCTGTTGATAATCCACCAGTTCAAGCACAACTGAACAAGAAAAATCTTACCCGGGATTCCTCTAAGAGTAATAGGCGGTATTTGTTCAGCATGGCTTGTGTACGTTTCAACAACTGTGTGGACACCATTTCAAACTCTTCATCTACTAGAAAAGAACCAAAATAGGGAAAAGAAGGAAGGGCAGAAAGAAAGGTTATAAGGTTATATGTTTGCCTTTTAAAAATGGAAACTGCTGTAAGAAAAGGCATTTCAGTTACTGGATTACAATTGCAATGCAGTGAATACTAATATTTCTAAAAGGGTGGCTACATTTGTCATATAAACAAAGCCTCTCAAAGATACAGTGTGGCCCCCCCAAAATGCAAAAACAAAATGCAAGAGGCTAACGGGAGGTGTGGTTGAATCCTACACAAAGAACAGAGGAATTCAGGATTCAGTTGGTGTAGGGTATCTCCATCATTCACATAGACTGTGCAGGAGGCTCTTAAGCCACATAGACTATGCATAGTTAGAAAGACCGTTTTGACTCTTCAAGGAAGACAAGTTTTATGAGGTAAGAAAACTGATTTTACTTTAATCCAGGTGCAACAAGTATCATGTTTCCAAGTGAATTCTAATTCTAATGAAAAAGAAAAATGCTTTTGGGTCCTTAGGGAACAGCAGGGATGCACAGTAGGGAGTTGTCAGTTTAAAAAGGCTGGGGAAAACAAAGGGAACCCCCAACGACATCTGATGAGGTAGCCTCTCGGACTGACTTACCCTTCCGATAGTCATGGGGAGAAGGCAGCGTTCCCTGGTAGACATGGTATGGCAAGAGCCTCTGCAGAGCATCTTCAAAAGACCGAAAGGAGGTTTTGTAATCAGGATGCAGCACAGTTCCCTGGTGTTTATGTAGCTGTTCCAAGAAACTAAAGGACACGGAACAAGAAAGCACAAGTGAGTTTCATCTTGAGGAGTCCCGCTCCCCCTAGTACACCAGAGACAGAACAACCAGCTTCTCTCCCTGACCATTCATTCAGCGCCTGCAAAGGTAGCTCAAGGCAGAATGCTATTTTAGGTTGCCCTGCGCAGAGGAGAATGAAATATGCTTTTATCTATACAATAATGTCTGGGAAAACTATGCTCTCCAACACAACATCTTCACTACCTTTCAAGTCATAGAGCTAAAAAGAATTTCCAGAAAGGACCTGGGTTCCAGTTAACTACTTTATTGTTGACAGTATCTGAGACATTTAATACATCACTATACATTCTCGTTCCAGTTCTAACACACTAGATGGAAGCTTCTAGTTTAGTGCTACAGTTGATGCAATTTGCTGAGATAGTGAGTGTGCAGATGAGGGACAGGGATATTTGCATCTTGTTAGACGGAAGAGCACAAGGCAGCGTATGTGCAGATGGCTCCAGAAAACCTATGTATAAGAACTGAAGTGAGGGAGTATGACTGGTCCAAGTTCACCCACTAAACATCTCTCTGGTTGAACAGCAGCATTTGACCCAACACACTACCCTGACTCCAACCAGTTGGATGTTACCATCCATAACATCCTTTCTTTCTTCTCTGGGCTGAAGAAACTGGCATGCTTTACACAGGAAATATAACAGAGAGCTTTTAATGTAATGTGAATAATAACACCCTAACACTTGGCTTTTTGTTCTTACAATTCTGCAATCATTGGTTTGCTTCAGCACAGACTTACCAGGCTTCTTTACTGGGCTGTAACATAGGAGGTGGCTTTTTCAGACTTCCAAGTTTGCTGTCATACTGGTGAAGGGGGGGGGGAGCAAAAGAACAGAGATAGAACATTGAGACAGAGGCCACAAACTAAAACCCAACCCAGCTTCTCTGTGACAAAGTGAACAGGTCCGTGAGTAGATTCCTGAGAAGAGACCTGAAGTGGAAGCCTTACCAATGCCCTCCAGCTCTATTTAGAAGCCTCTGGTTAAAACTGAATGGTTTGATATGGCTGAGGGTTGCTGACCCTGGCATCTTAGCTTGTAGCTCCCACAGTTCCCCTGTCAATGGCCACAGGGTTGAGAGCAGACACGAGTTGTAGGTGAAACCATTTTGAAGGCTACGTATGCCCCACTCCCTGGTCTAAAGAAGTCCTTTTTATTACTAGTATTGTATAATAAACATAATGTCTAGAGATCTGAGGTCTGGCATCACGAATAGGCAAACAATGTTCAGTTTTCTTTTTTCCCCACTATCTGCAAGAGCGGTAGAAGTGCTGAAATATGACTTAGGGCCCATCATGGGCTGGATGTGGGCTATGCAGCTAAAGATTCATCTGGACAAGATGGAACGGCTCATGATAAATAAAATGGGTGATCCATGGATAACTTGTGCCCCTTGAGGCAACACTTCCGTTTTGTGGTTTTGGGAAATCGTTTCTGGGTTTAGCTTTTCTCTGGATATTCAAGTGGACAGGTCTGTTTTTGCCCATTTTACACTGATACACCAGTTATGCACATGTTTCTTGAGACTTCAGGGCTGGCTTCAGTGACAGATGTTTCAATATGCTCTGTTGAGGGGAAGGGATGCCCAACTCTAAAAAGCATTCAGAAATTTCAGTTGGGCTATAACATTGTTAATCAGAACAGCTCTTAGGAACTGGCAACTCTTTTGCTGAAACAAGTACAGTATTTCTAATTAGTCTCTGAGTACGATTCAAAATGCTGATAATGATCCTGAAGTTATCAATATTTTGAAAGCCAGATATATGAAGGACTATCTCTTGTATAAGCTTCCTGTTTATTACAGTCTTTAGCACAAGCCCTCTGAAACAAGTTCAGAATGACCTCTGACTGGCAATAAGGAGAGGGTCATTTAAAATGCTACAGGTTGGAACTCTCATCCATGTTGAATGTGCCATCTGGTGTGCAATCCAGCACATGACCAAAATCTTGCCAATCAACTGCAACAACCTTGCATGTCATCTTGTACATATATAAATTTCCAACATTATTGTGGCCAAAGCACATGCTGTACCCTTTTGGTACTACTGCTGCTTTTAAAAAGTACTAAAATGATAAAGAAATGCTATGTGCATGTTAATGTACCAAGAGAGAGAGAAAAAAGAAAAACCTGTCTAAGAAGTCTTTAGACAAAAATGAGTTGTAATCTGTACCCTCACCTGCTGTTGGATTTGGGAAGGTGTTGAGGGTATGAGTTGTGGCAAGTTCTTTCCAACTACCTGGAGCTGCAGTGGGCCTTTCCCATGATTCAGGCCTGACACAGAACTAATAACTCCAGGCTTAGTCTGTCAAAGAAACAAGAAAATGGTTTTACACCAGATGAATTAAAACAAATTGAAAACAAGCATACAATGAAAGTTACTAGCAACACAGACAGCAGCAGGATACCAAATGCTAAGGCACTGCCAGCCCCTGAGGTGATGAATGGTAACTGAATTCTTTGGTCCAACGGTGGTAACAAATGATTTTTGTAGGTTTTTCATGCTGTTTGGCTGTGTTCCGAAGGTTTTTCTCTGTGGGTGGCATCTTCAGAGGACTGGAGTCAGAATTCTGTCTGTGTTCTAGTACAGCGTGTCGGATAGTTGAGTCATCCCAAACTATCTCACACTCTACACTAGAACACAGAATTCTAACTCCTGTCCTCTGAAGATACCAGCCACAGAGACTGGAGAAATGTTAGGAAGAAAAACCTTCAGAACACGGCCAAACAGCCCGAAAAACCTACAACAACCATCGGATCCTGGCCGTGAAAGCCTACGAGAATACGGTGGTGACAAACTTTACTTAGAATGCAAGATTCTCACCTCAGGTGAAATAACCCACTAGCATAACTGTTCCATAAACCAATAGATGCCAGTAAAACCACTAAAACTGTGTGGAGAGGATGGCAGCAGACCAAACTCAAGACTCCTCCAATCCACAGCCTCTTCCTGGCCAATGGTACCAATTTATATGAGGACCAGACCTCAAGTGTATAGCGATTTGTTGGAGGATAACTGCAGTCAGAATTTTCTGAGCCTTGGCCAGGAATAGCAGAGTTTCATAGGAGGCAAGATAGAGGCACTCAGTCAGAAGTTAGCTTTGTGCCTTTGTATTTTATTAAACAACTACTTTTCCAAGAGTCAGTTTCTAAAGACCATAGATCAACACGCTATGGTGACTACAGAAAAAAAATGTGCATCTACTTTAAAAATTACATGCATCAACTAAAAACTACACTTGCTTGTTGAAAAAAGAATGGCAATTTTGTCTCACTCTGTTATGTATCCCTGCAATATCTTCATGGCTAAGTGTGTTAATTACCCCACCTCCACCTTGGAGAAAGAAATATCCCACCTTTTCCCTCTAATTTGTATCAACAAGCATAAATAATTGTTTTCTTTTTTGGCGTAAAGGGTCACAGTGTTTTTGGAGGTATACTATAGGCATCTTCCAATTAGTTCCTAAACACAGCTGTCCCCTCTCCCACAAGAATCTACTTCTTAAATGTAGCTTTGAGGTGGAAGAGCAACTACATGAGGACTCAAAGAAGTGTGTTTTGGCTTCAAACGTTTTGCAGGAGTTGCTTAGTGATATGTTGGCATAACTTCCATATACAGTGTATACCGCCACCACACCAGTGTGTCTGCTTGTGTACATTAGAATACTAATAAAAATAAATAAATTTAGGATGAGTAAGGGATGATCCCCTTGCTCCTCCCCTGCCCATTTCCAAGAGTAGAAATATACAAGTGGATCTACTTGATAGTAAATGTTTGGGTAAGATGTTGTTGTTTCTGCATTCAACACAGCCATTCAGCTAATGTGTGAAACTAGTCCTAAAAATTAATTTTTGATAATAAGACCAAAACTACATTTTCTTGCAGAGATTAGCCAATCATAACAATCTCACCTGAACTGGCTGCTGTACAGCAACAGAAACAGCAGGTTTTCCTTGCCCTGGGGCTGATTTCCCTCCAGAAATAGTTGTGGAACTGCTGGAAAATGTTTTGATGTCTGCAGGAGCTGCAGCAGAAACGGCTAGAAGATTGGGAGGAGAGGAAATACACAGATAAGATTTCAGAGAAGCAAGAACATTTAGAAGTTGATTTAAAAACAGAATAGGATCCTGTGGTTTTTACCACTATTTGAGAGACAGCAGAGAGCTAAAGGGGGCAAGTAGTATGTATATCTTCCTCCTTCCCCTTTCCTGCTGTGTGGGGGACTTGGTTTGCACCCCTCCTCTTCCTTCTTTATTCCACCCATTAAAATTTTCAGCTACACATTGAAGGAAGGCTTCCTGAGTCAGAAGCTTCAAGATCTAGGCAGGCTTGAAGCCTGACTCTCATCAATTAACTTCTGCTTGAAAAAAAGGGGGAGAAGGAAAGAAAGAAACCAGAGCACAAAAGCAAGAACAAGATCTCTCCACTCACTGACACATTCAAGTCTTTGTTTCTACCTCCTTCTAAGCTGGCTTCTTGAAAAATCTGACTGCCTCCTGTTAATGGCCAGGTTGCTCTTGAGCATGCAACGGTTCGGACCAACTTTTAGAACAAAGCACTGTTTTCTGAATAGTGACACTCTTTACTCTTTAAGGAGGTTTCTGCAGTAAAACATACTTCTGTTCCCACTACCACTGTCTGCAAATTACAGACAGTGCCAGCAAACTGTCATTCTGTAAACGGTCATTCTGTAATCCAGCTATCAGCACTCTTGCCTCTAAAGCTAGCTCTTTGATTGCCATTCCAGTTAAGAACGGAAAGCAAAGAGTTTTGTCTCCCATTGCAAGAGATCAGGACAAGGCCATTATTCATAGGGGAGTTTAGCCAGGCCACCAGAGCTGACATTCCTACTCCAAAGAAATGAGCCAAGGAATCTTTAACGAGCACAATGCGGGAAAAGGCCGAGAGAGTCTTGCGCAGAAAGGCAGATGATGGGAATCACTGCAAGAAAAGTTATGAGCAATGGGGAGAGGGGATCATGTTTAAGTCAGCTCCTTTTGAGTTTTTCAATGACACTGGGGAAAAGAATTGTGGTCCCCCCCCCTTTTCTCCTAGCTATGGCAGGGAGGCCTGTTCACTTTTAGCAATATCATACAGGCCAGATTCCACATAGAATATAAATGTCTCGTGGGATGAGAAGGAGTTTTGATTTATATATTTTAAAAATCTCACAAGTATGTAACTCCTTTGCTTTTGGAGACAAGGCATCAAAATCTCAAAAGCCCCCCAAAAATCTATTTCTAGTTTTGAAAACAGATAGCAGTAAAGCAAAATATATTCAGAAACACATGAAGAATATTATTTGAATCATTATTTATGCATGAGGAAAACAGATAAAGACAACCCTGACTGTATCTTATTTAGTCAATAAAACAGCAATCTTATTGGTGGAAGATGAACTGGAATCACGTTCGCACTTTCTAGCTACTTTAAGAAGCTCAGGAAATCTGACGCTTATCGCACTCATCTCAGTGCTTTACATGGAGAGACAGAGATCCACAGGGAAGTATAAATCTGAGATAAATCTAGTAACTCATCAAGATGTAGACATATAGGAACATGATATGCTTCTGGGAGCAGGGAGAATAGTCAGAGGGAGAGATTTGCATTACGTTCCCCTGCCCGGTGGAAACATACATGCTGCCACAATATCTGCACATATGACATTCTCGTGCACATACATATCCATATTATTTATGAAACAGGTGGAAGAAAGAAGCCCCTTTACTCTTTACACCTTCCTATTACCCACTGTCATATAGTCTTAAGAGAGGCTGAAACAGAGGGATTAAAACACTCTTCCTTTGCTCCTTCTCTTTACCAACAGATACCGCGGTTCTAAGATAATTAGTATTATAACTTACACACTGATGCTGATTTGACCAACACAGGTGTCTGTTGCTGGAGGAGTCCTGCTGGCTGTGCAGGTTGCCCGCCTCCGGTTCCTCTCTGCACTTGGCCCTTTTCAAGCACGGCCGCCACCTTCGTTAGACCTGGATTGGAAGGCTGAACGGCAGCAGGCATGGGGGCGTGGCTATGAGCAGGTGGTGCCTGAGTTGTTGTCACTGTGACCTGCTGCCCTTGGCTGCTAACCAAGACCGAGGAAGGCTGGCTGCTGAACTGGCTCAGCACAGGTGGTGCTTGGCTAGTGGAAGTTGGCTGTTTCGTCTGCAGGATAATCCCTTGGGGCATCTATGTGGGATAAAAAGGCAAGGAATGAATGACAGTCTATCCAAACACCATTTCCTTCAAACTGGTAACATGAATCAGAGTTCACCGGGAGAAAGCCTTGGAGCGCTGTCGCTGTTCGATAAAATGGTTTTTGACCATGCACGGAATGCCTTGTCTTAACCACTGAATAACTGCAACAATCCTCCAGACATCAAATACTCTGGATAAGAAGCTGGAGGTCAGAGGAGGCATACTAACTCATGCAAAATATTACTTGGGAACTTAAAAAAGAGAAATACGCTCAGTGCTTATACCTAACTATTTTATCAAATACTTGCAGGGGGGGAAAACCTTCTTCTCTTATGTCTTCCCTTCAGCCTTTACTGTTTCAGGGCTTCAATATAAGCATCCCCAAACAGAAACTTTGCTTCCTTTACTTAACTGGTAAACCAACTGAAGAAAAGAACTAGTTTTTATTAATACAGGGACTTTCCAGGCCTCCTAGTGGCAAAAATCAGTATATGCAAGTGGCAAGAACAAATTTTGGTCCTGACAACCAGTTGCGGCATTTTTAAACAATGGCTGTTCATCCGGCACATCTGGAGTAAACTAGACGATGCTCTAGTACTTGTGGTTCAGCTTTTAAGGAACATCACCGGGGGAGGGGAAGAGACTGAGGAGGAGAAAACAAGGCATTTAAAAGACTGTGGGGCTGACCATCCTACCAAACGGATTCCCCGTCCCATCCATGTCAATTTCAGAGGTGTGTGCGTGGTTTTCTTACCTGCTGAAAACGGTCCAAGAGCTGCTTTTGCTGAGGTATAGGAGCTGAAATCGCAGAGAGAGCCTGAAACTGATTTGGAACCATCTGAAAATTCCTCTGTTGTTCGGCGGTGAGATGAAGCGTCTGGGTGGGCGTGGGAGGTCTGATGGGGCCTTGGGCAGAGAACTGAAGTTGGAAATGAGGGGAATGGGTATGCTGCACCTCAGACGGGGCCTGAATTTGGGGTTGCAAGCGAGTCTGCCCTTGGGCCTCAGGCGGAGGCTGAATCTGAGGGGCAAGCTGAACCTGCAGCTGCAGGTGTGGAGGGGTGGCCAGCTGAGGCTGCCCTTCCGGCTGAGTTTGTGGTGCTTGGAACGGTACCTGAGGCTGCGAGGGGGGCCGCAAGGGATGCTGGCTGGGGCCATGAGGGGATGAAGCGATCTGATTCTGGATCACGTACAAGTTCTGCATCTGCATCTGCGGGGTGCAGGACCGGGACAGGGGCTCAGAAGGAGGCCTGGATAAAGTCTGCGGCTGCGAAGGCGGTCTTGAGTGAGGCCGGGAAGGTGGCCGGGAAAGTGGTTGAGGCTGCGACGGAGGGCGAGATTGGTGGGGAGACTGCATTTGGGACAGGTGCGTGGTGGACTGGAGCTGGGGGCTCTCCCCCATGGAAGGATGAGGTAGTGAATGGGACGGCGAGGCTCCAGGAAGTTTCTGCTGCCCCGAAGGCAACTGGAAAGAGGTGGGGTGGGGGGAGAAAGAGAGAAGGAGAGAAAAAGGGGGCAGGGAATGGAGAGAGTACGTAAATCAGGTTAGACATCTGTTGTGAAAATACTCTCGACATAACTGGACATTAGAATCTAGTTCTGCAATCGAAGCAACCAAGACTGCTTGAGTCCCAAGCTCACAACTGACAGGTGGAGGCTGCTTCTTCCCTCTCTTTCCTCAGTTCACACTGTGAGAGACCCCTGAGCCAGGAGGGGAATATCTTGGGAGCAGAGCAGAATCTAACTTTCATGCGGTTCCACTAAGATGACGACTTGTGAACACCTGCCTAATTTACTTTTACTGCCTCCATTTGTTTGCAAAGCTTGCCTGTAGCAGATGTTACTCTGAAAGACATGCCTTTTAAACTATGGAGAAGAGAATGAGATAAGATGGAAATAAAATCTGAAAGGTGTCCAGTATCATAGGGACTGCAATTCAAAATACTCCCTAACATTCCTCAGCCATATGGCTTAATGAAAAGCCTATCCCCAAAGTTAGCACCTGTGCAGGTTAATTCATGCATTGTGCCACCATTCCAGCAAAGGCAAGAAGCGACTGGCTTCCTTCATTATTCTGAGGAAGGCGGGACTTTCTAGAGAAAGCCAAGGGCTTTCTAGACCCCTTGTGAAGCACATTTAACCTTTTTCAAAATTTCCTAGCTCTGCTGAATCATGCTAAAATGGAAGGCACCACTGCTGGGAGTAATTCTTTTAACTACTCTGCCTTCATGCAGAAAAAGTCTATGAGAAGAGTGTAATGGAGGTAAAGTTCATAAACTACTGGAGGTAAAGCTCATAAATTCCTGGAGGTAAAGTTCATAAATAGCTCAGTTTTTAGGAAAACCCTATATATTATGCCTTTCTACCCAAACTGCAAGCTTGAAGCTTGAGCCTGGAATGTTGGTACAATGCTTTCACGACACCAAGGCTTTTTATACCTCACCCTCTCCTTTCCTACACAGCAGGAAGGCCTCTGCTAATTCCTGGAGCTAGAAACTTCACAACATTTTCAACATACAGACATGCACGGGACTGCAAGAGAGTCAAGCATTCAGATAATACCTTTCCGTTGAAATATACGACATACGGGGAGGATACAAAAGTGCACTCTGGTAGGAGACAGTAACATATCACACGTGCAGTGCACAGCTCTGAAGGGATAGAGAAGACGGGAAGAGAAGCAACAAAAGGCAGCAGTAGCACCACCACCACCACCATTAACTCCCACGGTAAGTTAGGACTGAAAGGGAAGCAAGCAAGAGCAGCAACAGGGAGAAGAGACGAAGAGGCAGGAGCCACAGACCGGCAACGTGATTTAGGACTGGTGGGGAAAATGACACAGGAGCAGAAAGGATGTGGGACTTGGGCTGCTCAAAGAGGAGGTGTGGTATATTTGCACAATTCTGGGCCATATTTGTGTCCGTGTGCACGTGCTTCCCCATGTATGTGATGGTTACTGACATGCATCCAAGTGCTGTCTGCTGACGATTGCAGCTCACTTCAAGCCTGGTTAAGCAGGCCCATGTATAATAGGCCAATTTATGGACTACAGACTCCTTATGATCTATGGTATTCGTACAGGCTGCAAAACGCCTTGTAACTTGGTGGAAGTGTATTAGTTGGCACTGTTCGTTTCCACCTTTAAAATGTTTTAACATAGCTGTAGGGTAAGAGGCCAGTGAAAGTCGGTGTGAAGTCCATAAGCCCTCACTGTTGCATGGAAATCATTCTCTTTTACTTGTTATTCTTTTCAAAAGAAGACTCCGATACATTTTCTTTTGTAGAAGCAAGAAGGTCAACATTTGTCGGAGCTGCTCACCCGTGTGCTTGGCCCGGCTATCTTTCTCTATGTATTGTTCAAATCTATCCACAAGGGGGAGACTTCCATTGCCATTAAGGAAACATGTCACTACCAACACCCAAGAGCTTAGCCTTTGTTTTGAAGTGTGAAAGAATGCGAGTGCAAACCTAAACGAGACGCTGATATTTCTCGTTCTCTTTCCATGTTCTGCACAAAGAGTGTGCAGGAGAAAGCAAAAGCTGAAGGGAAGACTAGGAAGAATGGCCAGACATGTTAGACAGGAAGGAGTAAGGCAGGAGAACAGGCCAGAGCAAGGCGCTTTTTTTTTGGGGGGGGGTGGATTTGCAAACAGGTAAGGGCTACCTGGCAAGCCAGTGCCTGCTGGGGATGGCCGGCCGAGAACTGAGGTACTTTGGACTCCACCGGTGGCACGTTGTGGTTCTGGCTCAGCTCTCGGCTGGCAGGCGCTGAGCCTATGCTGCTGCTGACTATCACAGAGGCCGGGACACTGCTTGTGGTGCTGAGAGCAGTGGTGGCTATGCTGTAGATGGGCAGAGGCATGGACAGATGGGGAGGTACTGTGGAGTCATTCATACTGCTCTCTTGCTGCATTTTCAGGGTTGGTGAGTAAAACTGCTGCTGCTGCTGCTGCTGTTGCTGCTGCTGCTGGCTCCGATCCTTCTGAAATTTCCAAGAAATTTAGCATGGACCACATTTGTGTCAACAACTCGCTTTTACCACCTATGTTTCCTTCCATGCCACTTAGTGCGTAGGCACATACTCTCAGGGCCCCAGGGCAAAACACTTGTACTACAGGTATGGCTGAATATCTACGTCCAAAATTATGAAATTGGAACCTTCCAACCACTTTGCCCCTCTTTGCCAATTGGGTAGTGTGAAAGACACAAAAGCAAAGATAGGTACAAGGTCACACTCAATGCTGAATTTCATAGGATTTTCTTTTATCCCAAATTGGTGGTAGTGGGAGCCCAAATTTCTTTCTGATCTATGAGGTCCATAGTCAGTGGCAGCCCACATAAACTAAATCGTACTTGCAAATATATCTCTAGTCCTTTTTGGATTAGTTTCTAGATACAGAATTAACTTCATTAATGGCTGCCCTTATCAGGTCATTATGCAGCAAGTGTGATGCTTTCTGCTCTTTAATGAATGGAAGGCTGTTCAGACTTTTGCAACTTTTTTTTTTTTTAGCTTTCGGCAAACATCTTAAAAGCTCTCTCAACCAACACTTAAGCCTAGAAGCCTTTTCCGGAAAAAAATGAAGGATGGATCTTTTGGTGGTTTTGTGGACTCATACCTGCAAAGGATGTTTGACTTCTTATCATTAGTATCTCCTTAGTAAACTGGAACACTCTCCAATAGAGAAAGAACTCACTAACCAAACTAAAAGAGTTAGTCATTGTAGTAAGAATTTTTTTTTCACTTGCCTGTTGGAGGAACATCTGCATGGAATCCTGGGAGATGACCGTTCCAGCCGCTGCCTGGCCCAGGATAATCTTTTCAGGACTTGAGGCCGCCAAGTTAGGACTGGGCTGGGAAGTCGCAGGAAGTGGTGCTGGTTGTTGCTGAGGCGGTGGAGTTTGCTGCTGCACACTGAGCTGAAGCTGAGAAGGCGCAGAGGGCTGGGAAGCGGGCTGGACGGTTAATATGTTGGCTTGGTCGCCACTTGGCAGCAGGTTGGTATTGGAAGCTGGCTGTGGCTGAATGAGACCAGGGCTCTGGCTGCTGGCACTGGGAGGTGCTTGGATCGTCACAGTTTGGTTGAGGTTCTCCGTGGCGTTTAACATAGCCACTTGGTTAGGCAGAGTGACTCCTTGAATAACAGTCTGGCCGGTTTGACCAATGGCGCCACTGGCCAGGGAGGCTGCCACAGTGGACTGGCTCTGAGTTGTCAGGCTACCAGCTAAAGAGACGGGCATCTGAAAGAGAGTGGGCTGGCCAACCTGCCCAGGCTGGATCTGGATAGGGGCAGAAAGGATGTGGGCAGTGCCATGGGCATTCTGCGATGTCAGCACCTGCCCCAGGTTGAGCTGGCTTGCCAAGTTCTGATTCGTGAGAATCTGAGCAGGCAGTGCTTGATTTGTTATTAGCTGGCCGCCGGGCCCCTGACTGGTGATGATATGAGTTTGACCGCTCGGATGAGAGGCGGTTAAGATCTGGCCGCCCATGTTAGCCTGCAAGGCTGATAAGTGTGGGGGGATTTGAACGGCTGAAGTGCCAGTGAGCTGTCCTGGAAGAAGGAATTGGTTTTGACCCTGCAGCATGGCCTGGGGGACATGTTGTGCTGGAATAACAATGCTGCTGCCTTGGTTCAGCAAGTGGACACTCATGGGCTTGCTAAGGGCCTGCTGCTGTGGTGGGGGCTGCTTGAACATGTTGGCAGGCAGCCCCGGTGGGAAGCCAGAGAGCACCACATTTTGCCCAGCTTTGCCTGCCATGAAGGTTAAGTTCTGCTGAGCTTTCTGGGGTTGGAGGGCACCCTCATTCTGAATAGTCAGGGTAGCATTGTTGGGGGCAAATGGTTTGGGGGTGATCTGGTACAACTTCTGCTGGACAACTCCGGCAGGTTTGGGTTGAATTGGCGTGGGTGTCCGGTGGATGATCACATTTTGGGCCTGTACCAGTGGGCTGCTCAAGTTGGATGTGACTGTGAGAGGCTGGTTGCCCTGGGTGGCCGAAACACTTCCAAACATGGAGCTTCCGTTCAGGGTTGTTGTAGCCACTGCCGGGAGGTTCTTCTGGATAACCAGGCCTGCATTCTGCGGAGATACCCCAGTGGAGGCAAGGGTGACCTGCTGTTGTTCAGGGGCTGTCTGGGTGATGTAACTGCCAACGGGCATGGTGGCCACTTGGGAAGGCTGAACTTGCTTAGCAATGATCTGCTGAGTCGGTTGGTTGATTGCCATCACTTGCTGGCCGACCACTTGAATCTGCCCAATACCCAGAGCTCCGCTGGGACTACCGTTGGGCAATCCTTGCAGGTTGGAAATCGGCTGGATGGTGACATTCCCCAGGCCGACTTGCTGGAGGAAAGGTTGCACGCTAATGGCTTTGTTCACAACATCAGCCCCTACTGACTGTTGCACCAGCGCCTGATGGGTCAGTACGGCCGGCTGCTGCAGTCCAATAAGGTCAGCTCCGCTAGAAAAGATCTGCGGAGTGCCATCAGAGGCTGTGTGGACCACTGGCTGGAGAGTCGGGAGTTGAAAAGACCCCAGATCCAGTTCTGCCTCTGCCTCCAGAGTCTGTTCAGTGATGTTAGCCTCCTGGAGGCTCTGCTGGAGGATGTCACAGGGCTGGTCTGAGTTCTGCAGGTTGCCCCCACCCCCTGTAGGTGATCCCAGGATGTCATCTTCTAAGAAGTCTAGGTCAACACTTGTTGTGGGCTGGTTCTGCTCCGTGTTCAGATGATTGCCAGAGGTTTCTTGTACGTGCAGCTAAAAAAAGAATGAAGATTCAATACGAAGGGAGAAAACTAAGCATTTCAGCAATAACAGAACAGAATTTTTAGTTTTCCGTATCTCGTACTCTACCTGATATCTCATTAGTATATATGCAAATAATTAATTATGCCATAGTATGCTTGTGTTGTTAATACGCTTTCATTTTCTTAATCCAAAATGAGACATTGTTTAAACCACTCACCCCCACACTGCCTCCAAACATCCTGAATGCTGTAACTACAGAAAAAGCAAAAACCAACCAAACAAAAAACAAAACAAAACAAAACACACGTTTCCCCAAACATATGTACAAGTATCAGGTTGAGGGAGGCAGTTTAACCTGGGAAAATGACGCAAAAAAAACACCACTACAAGTGGCATGGCTCTTATCCAAATCAACACCACACCATTCATGCTTTTAGGAAAAGGAAAAGATGTGAGGATATTTATGGATCTTTCACATTATACCTATTTCATCCCTTGCTATGCATTACATTACTGAAGGAACTTATACCAGCCATAGAACAGTAAGCATTTTCTGTCTTATATCAGGCCTCACAACAAAACATCTGGTATAAGACAAAAGCACTTCAGTATCTAGGCTCCCAAGGCACACAAATGGAAGTTCCTGACCTCATTCAGAAAGAAATCTGTTTTTGCAAGCCCCAAACTTTTACTAAGCCGATTGCCATGCTCAGACTGTCCCCACAGGAGAGAGCCTGATCATGGGGAGTCTCCATTCACAAAGCATCTGGATGGAGGAAGACAGCAGGGAACAACAAATGCACAGGCAGCCAAAACTCCAAAACAAATGCTTCAAAACGAACATGGACTAGTCATGCAAATCATTCCACCACCACCTTTCATTGCACCCAGTTATCGGTGACTGTGTGAGTAAAATCAAATCTGAGATTATAAACAGAGATTATCATGCAGGGAGGTGGGTCTATGAAGAGCCAGGAGTTGGTATATTCCTTCCAAACCTCCTGGCAACATAGGCCTCTGTACTTTCTGTCAATGTGGTTAAAGCAAAGTCTGCTTTAAAATGATATTGCCTGCTTCACTGTAACACATTACTAATATGAGGCCCAGAATCAAGTACAAAAATATGCAGATTTTTTTTCTAATGACATAAGAGAAATGAGAGGTTTCCACTCCTGTAGGTTTTGCCCTTACTCTGCCCATCTACGTATAACTGAACTTAATGTTCACATAATAGACAGTTCTATACTGCAATAAGGTGGTCACAAGCAGGATGGCACAACGCTTACTGTATAATAGATTTTAACGGGAGCTCTATTAACCGCCCCTCATATGCCTTCCTATGTATCTCTGTGTTAAGCGGAATCAAAGTTTGTTTTGCTTTTGCTATTATGAATGCTTATCATCATGGGAATGTACTCCTGCACTGGTGAACTTTCATCATGCACTGAGCATTATAAAAATGATGCTTTTTGCAAATAAATGACATGATGCTTCTTAGAGGAATACAAGCTGTATTTCAAAAATGAGGTGAAAAATACATACCCCAGCACCCTCAAAGAAGGCACTGGCTGCATCTCCTGTGTTGTCCAGGAGATCATCACTGTCAATCTGTAATTAAAAAGATTTAAATTACTGTATGTGAATGTAAATTTAAGGTTGACAGTGTTCATGGAATCTGTCTAACATGAAATGGAGACCAAATTGCATGACTTTATTCACAGACAAAGGCACCAGGTTACGTCCTCTCCATGGCTACGTTTCTTTCCAGGAACTGCAAATATATTCCCAATTGTGTTGGCAGAATAGTTTTTTTTTTAATTATATATTTATACACACATATATTTTGGTAAATTATGAAGCAATTTTTTTTTTGTAAGTAACTAAGTGGTTTTGGGGCGGCATTTGTTTGCCAGTCCTCTCTGAAAAACAACTGGCAGAACAAGACTTCCCAGATCATCATCTCTAGGACGAGTACCACCTCTATTCTCTGTGTCAATTCTTTCTGCGTAGGCATCCAAGCCAAAGGTCATTCAAGGAAGCATTTTGATTTGTTAATTAAGCATGCATCAAGTATATAAACACAGAGACAAGAAATTCCTCACCTTTTCAGATCCATGTAAAAAATCATTCAGGGCCTGCGGATCACTGGAAAAAAGATGAAACAATCAACACAGGAATTAGTTTAAAGAAGAATATGGGACTGAACTGTTTAATTATCCTCTTAATTTTTAAAACTTACTCATTAATGACTGAGACTGGAGAAATGTTCAGATTAATAGAAATGAAACTGCAACTGGTAACTGAAAAGGAATTATTATCTGTAGAAGTAACTCACCAGCTACATTAGACTTTGTTTCTAGCATTTTGAATTAAATAATATTTGTATCTCTTTCTATATGGACATGTGTGGATACACACAAAGAAACAATGTCATGAAGAGATAACAAATGTTTTCTTTAGGTGAACATAAAACTTCAGCTCTGCAGTCACAGTCTTCCCCACCCCCACCTTTGTACATTTTGAGTTATAGATTATGACTGCTGCGGGAAATACATCCAACATAATGTTTTCAGCTGTCCTAACTCTCTTTTGGGCCATAAGACTCCCAGTTTATATTGTTATGCTATATTTTGTTATCAACAAGTATATAGCAATAGCAGAAAGGAATAAAGTTATGTACAGGAGTTCCAAGACTTGAAGCTAAGCATGATTGAAAAGTATATTACTCAATACAGTATTTATTCATAATTTCAAAACCTTTTTGCTACAACAGACTGTGAGCAAAAACAGACCATCAAGGGCAAATACTTACCAAATTACATCTAACAAGCATCGGCCATCTTCATCATCCATGTCAACTGAAAGAAGGGGTTAGAGATCAGATTAAAACTAGGAAGGTAATATGTGGTATACAAATAATGCTACTAAAATGCTTCCACCAATACCAAATCTTGAGTTCTGCAAGTCAACAAATAGTTTCTTCCCAGTTGAAGAAGTGCTGGTTCCATATTTTGGGGGGGTCCTTGTATCTGTCATGGAAATACAGAATTGGCTCCCATGAAATTTTTATGGCTTCAAACAGAGCCTGAAACCCCACAGAAATGACAACAGCTGAGAAAATACCATGACACCATATCGTTCTCTGCTAGGTTGTAGCATGACTGAGGATGCAATTCTACATACATGGAGAAAAAGTCCTACAGAATTGAGCAGAATGCATTTCTAAGTATATAAAACCAGGACTGCAATGTAAGAATTCTATGTTAGGAGGAAATACTGCAATAGAGCTAATGGATTATGGAAATATTACACTACAGCTATGATAACATTACACCCAATATTCTTATTGCTAGCTGATCCAAATAGGGCTAGTTTACTACTCTGTGCTCCTTATCTCATACGGTCAATATGACTGCTAAAACAATTTGCATCATTTATCTCGCTTTCTAAATTAAAATACTGTATGCAAAACAAACAGTTAATGAGATATTTAATAGTATTTTCTAGTTTCATGGTCACAGAATCTTGACTGTTTTCTAAAACAAACAAAGCAAACTTTGTTATGAAACAAACAAAAAGCACGAGTGAATGTACATACAGAAATGACAACAACGTCATTGACTTGGATTCCTGATTGAGCAGAGAATAGGACTCAATGTCCACTGTATTATTCTATGATTCTGTATCTTATATCCCTTGCATTTCCTGTCAACTATTTACTACCTCTTGCTACAAAGAACACACTGGCAGAGTGTTCTTGATTGAGAAAAGAAACATACCTTCCTCCCACTGCAATCTTGAGCGAGAGAACGGCATTATCAGAAGGCCAGATATTTTGCATAAGTGGGAGGAGGAGAAAAATCTGTCTGAATTCTGAAGCTTGAATTTTCAATAGCTGACCAAGGTCAAAGAGTCCAGGCCATCCCCAGAGGGATATTAATTTTCTTGCCTCTCAAAAGACTTATTTACAAAAATCCATAAAAATGACAGCTTGATTAGTTGCATTTATTCGTTAGCTGATCAAAAGGCATGCAGAGAGACGGCCACTTAGTAAATCAACTGATTGCACCTCCTCTTTCTTCCCTGCATGCAACGTAAGGCAACTTCAAAGAATTTCACTTTGGAGTCCACTGATTTGCTTGTCTTGCCAACTGAAGTGTCTCCAATACACAGTAAATATGACAGGCAACTGTCCTTTTCTCAGGCTAAGAGCTGGAAGACCATCCCTGCATTTATGCTGTACTTTGGAGGCATACAAAAATTTGTTACAAGAGGAGCAAGCTCCCACTGTCTGCCCTGAATTTAGAATGGCAAAAACCAGTAAGTCCTCCCCTGTCTGCCTGAAGCTCTGAACTGCAGAACAGAATAATCCTTGCTCCAACACTGAGTTTCAGAGGTTTTAGTGACACTCCAAAGGATTGGGGTTGAAGAGGACAGGTTAACTGTGACCACATTTGCCTTATTACCAGCACAGGATTCCAGGATTAACAGACTGGGAGATGGCAGGGAGACTCTAAGCCCTAGCATACTTTGGAGACCATCAGCATATGACATAATACATCATACATGCATCTCCAAGAGACAAAAACACTTTACATGGCTCAAACTGTGGTAACAAAAGACTGAGGAAGCTGCTTCACACAGAGGAGCAAGTAAAAAAAAGGTCTGAACTTGTAAAGAGCCTTTATCTAAGGGAATGTTCACATGTAATACTCAGCACAAGGCTCTGTGTACACTGAGGGGCCACCAATGCTCCTCTCTCATAGTATTTTCAGTGTTACTAAACAGAAATATACAAACTAAGACCACAAAGCATGATCAGGCCCCCTCCTCTGGGTAGAAACCTATGTAGCAAACAGTCATGTTCTCTTCTCCCACTTGACCCACAACACAGTGCCACGACTCCTTTGGACTTTCTGCCATAGCTTTAGAGCCTGAAGTTCTGAATACTGGGAGTCCATCAAATTTCATCTCTGTCCTCCATTTCCTTTCTGAAGCCGCTCTCTCACTCTGAGATGCAGCTGCCTCTGGCTTGAGCAACCCATAGTAGGAAACAGAAGGGAGCCACAAAAAGCTAAGCGATTGGCATATTTGCCTGTTTGGAAGGTGAAACTATTGCAAATGTAAAAGGGGGAGACCTTCACTGGAAGCAGAGCCCAAGAAGTCAAGAGCTCATAGAAGACTAAAACCTTTCTTCCGTCAAGCAGAGATGGTGGGTGGGGAGATGTCTCACAGAGATTCAGTGTTAATGGAGCACTGAAAATAAACTAGTGTTATTGTTGGATAAAGACCAATCTAGCATTGCAGAATGTGAGGTCTTCCTTCCTTCATATAGTATTTATTCTCAGAGCAGATAATCAATTCTCTGCAGAATAATTTTCAGGTCTTAACTTAGACCTTCCCAAAACCACTTCTGTAGAAGTCCAAATAAAGAAATAATCAGTGGCACGATCTAAAAAGTAGATTGATTTGTATTCCTGCATTGAGTAGGGGGTCAAATAAAGAAATAATCAGTGGCATGATCTAAAAAGTAGATATCCTTTGATTTGTATTCCTGCATTGAGTAGGGGGTTGGACTCTATGGCCTTATAGGCTCCTTCCAACTTCAAGATTCTATGACAGCAGCAAAATTGCCCTTCATATCAAATGGCGAAAGTAATGGCCCTCCAGCCACCTCTTGATTCATTTTGTTCTCTCACCTTGAGTCTTTGTCTAAAAGTAATGGCCCTCCAGCCGCCTCTTGATTTATTTTGTTCTCTCACCTTGAGTCTTTGTCTATTGATATATTATTTGTACCATATTTTCAATGATTTATTTTATATGCGGTTAGCCGCCCAGAGTAGTCGGTTGACTAAAGGGGCAGGGTACAAATTAAGTAAGTAAGCAAGTAAGCAAGCAAGTAAGCAAGCAAGCAAGTAAGCAAGCGAGTGAGTGAGTGAGTGAGTGAGTGAGTGAGTAACTAAGTAAGTAAGTAAATCTTGCAAATGGAAAAGGCTCTGTGACAGAATTGTAGAACAGAGGTAAATGGAAACGGCTCTGTGACAGAATTGTAGAACAGAGGTTTCAGTTCCTCTTTAAAGTTATCTTTCTCAACCCTTTTACATGAACACAGAGTGAAACATATCTAAACATTCCTAAAAATTAAGCCTAACAGTTCCCAAATGGGGCACCAGAAATCTGGGGAGTAAGGAGTGGGCTAAGGGATAAGCTGAAACAGGTAGACACAGTGCACTAGTGTCAGGAACATATTCACACATTGAATCAGAACTGGTGTGTGTCTGAGCTGTATCATTTCCTATTTTACAGCAATCTACATCAGAGTCATTCAGTATGACAGAATAGCCAGAAGTGTGGGTTGGGGAATGTCACATGGTGGAAGATAGAATGGGAGAGAAATTCATTTGGTTTACAAATGAAGATGGTTCTGAAACTTTGAAGACAGTTCGGAAACTTCAGCTGGTGCAAAACTCTGCAGCCAGACTACTGACTGGGGCGAGCTACTGTACTGGGAGCATATAATGCACCTGTTACAAGAACTGCACTGGCTACCAGTCCTTTTCCGGGACCAATGCAAAGTGCTGGTCGTTACCTATAAAGCCCTATACAGCTTGGGTCCAGGCGATCTGAAGGACCCTATCTCCCTATAGCCGCCTTCTTGGTGATTAAGATCAGCAGAGGAGGCCCTCCTCTTGGTCCCCTTGCCAGCACAAGCACAGCTGATGGGAACATGTGAGAGGGCCTTCTCTATGGCAGCTCCCAGGCAGCAGGTCTCAAACACTTAGAGGCAAAACTTTACTACAAAATGTGAATTTGCGCATCATACAATAAATCACTAGAATCACATTTTTAAAAATTTTGTGTCACACTTGCTGAAAAAGTTTGGTCCCCATGCTGAAGGCTTTCAATAAGTCAGAGACCATTTAGCTACAAGGCATTCTGTTCTCAGAGTTCAGGAATAGGCCAGATTGCCTCAGAGGTATAATTTTCAACTCCTGTGATTGTATCTAGTGTGTGAAAGTATGCATGTGAAATAATGATATGGTGGTTTAATGAGATTAGGAATTCTGCTCAGCAAAATTATTCATTAGAAATAAGACAATTATGCTACCCACCATCTTTTTTTAAATTACAGCAGTTTTTAAAAACATGTCAGGAACCTATAGAGCAAATGATATTGATTTTCATGCCAGTTCTGACACCTCCCATACAATTTAAATAGCCATTATGTACCCTATTTGTGAGCAAATGTTACTGTGAGCAAATGTTATCAACATAATTTTTATAGTCATTTTCTGTAATTTCTCATGTAAAACAAATTCCAAACAAGGAAAAAAAACCTCCAAGAGCCCCCAAATGTATTGCCTTTTCCTTAATGTGAAACAGCATTTTAAAGATGTCTGGATTTAAAAGTGAGTACTATACATTTGACTTGATAAATGTAAAACATACTGAAATATATGAGTTCAGGAAGATAAGAAGGATGATCGAGGCCATATAACCCATTACTGGAAATGTAAGACACATTCACCCCCGCAGAAATTCTCTGTTTGCCAAAGCAAAGCTCTGGCTTTTCTTATTCTTGTTAAGACAGCCCTTAGCAAGACAGTGGCTGGCCCTCCACCACGGCCTCTCCTCTCCTAAACACATTTCTCATGGATTGACTCCAAGCAAATCAAAACTTTGGCAGTCAAACCATCTTGGTTCACACAGGCTCATATCTTACAGAGCTAGCAGTTCCAAACAGCAGTCAAATCAGTTGCCACATCCTCTTTCTTTTTCACAAAACCATTGCACTACATAATGGTCACTGTTATGTCTTATGTTCACAAGAACAAAGACAAGCTGTGTTAAGTCCTGT